TAAAATCATAAAACAAAGATATTGCTGGTGTGGGAAGTCCTTCAGTAATATATGTGTTACTTTTATTGGTTATTGAATAAAGCTGTTATGGTCAATGGCTTAGCAAAATAGAGCAAGGTGGGAATTCCAAGCAGAGAGAGGAGAAAAGAAGGCAGAGCTGGAGAGATGTCATGTAGCTGCCAGAGGAGAAAAATATACATGCACCATTACGAGTAAACCACAAGCCTCATGGTAAAATATAAAAAAATAGAAATGGGTTAATTTAAGAAATAAGAGCTAGCCAGGAATAGGCATAAGCTAATAGACCAAGCAGTGTTTTAATTAACAAAGTTTTTGTGTGATTATTTCAGGTCTGGACGGCCGGGGAACAAACAAGCAGTCTCTGCCGACAGAATGGCACCTGAACGTTCAGTAAAATGCATACACATAAAGCCTAATAAACCATTAAAAAAAAAGGAGGGATTATAGACCCACAAAAATTGGAGCCAAGGGCAGCTTTTTTTATTTTTTAGTTTTGGATAGGCTCTGTTTGCTATAAACAAGCAGAGATGCTGCTCCTCTAAGAGAAGGCTTCCTGACTCAGTGGTAGCAGGAAAAATTGTGTAGTTCTTTTAAGAAGGCTTCCTTGTTCGCACTAGTTGCAGGAACACCTCTGGCTTTTTCAGGAGGCTAAGAACTTAAATGGGGTTTGTGAATAGTGTGTTAAAAATTGTTTAATGGCGCAACATAGACCTGCAGAATATCTGGAACTGGTGTGGTGTGCAGGACTTATAGAAGTGGTAAACATGCCTCTGCCATGTTGGACTGGGCTGAGCCAAAAGGCAAAGTAGTCTTAATCCTAACCACGCTTCTAAGCATTTTAAAAAGTGGTCCTGGTCATAAAAGGATTACAGATACATGATAAAGACAGATTCAGATTTAAAAAAAAAAAGACCTCGAAACAGGTCACAGCATTAAATAAAAGCACATAGACTTAGGAGATAGAAGAAACAGAGTAAAGAGACAGTAAGAGTAACAGAGTACAGACAGTCATAGATTAAAGGAGTAAAGAAAATAAAATAAATATTAAACTTGTAGAAAAAGTAATAGTGTAAGAAAAATAAGCCACGTAAAGATGAAATAGACAGAGTCTGGATTATGGATATTATTGTGTTTCTTTGAATTTTTTGACTGTGAATGAGCTAAGTACAGAGAGATATATCATTGTACAGTTGCTAAGCAAAACCAACATAAATACTTTAAAGGTATCTTGACTTCAAAATTTGGGTCTAAGGATATGTTGCTTTGGAAAAGAGGTTCTACTTTTGTTTTCACAGATGATGAGAACCTGTAGATTCCTTTCAGACTAATGTGTATATCTCTGTGAATCCCGCTCCCGCCCAAAAAATAATTCGCCCAACAAAAAGCAGGAAGCAATTTAGAGAGAACTACATCTGAATTCCCAAATACTGTTTATAAATGTTTGTTTACATTTAAAAGGAGATATGATATAGAGATGAATACTTTGCATTGGTATGGATCTTGGTCTATTGATACAAATTTAAGGTCAATTTCTGCTCTTGATGAAGGTATTGTGGTAAAATAAAAATATAACAGAAATGGGTTAATTTAAGATATAAGAGTTAACCAGGAATATGCCTAAGCTAATAGGACAAACAGTGTTTTAATTAATACAGTTTCTATGTGATTATTTCAGGTCTAGGTGACCAGGAAACAAGCATTCTCTACCTACAAATTACCAAAGAAGAGATTCTCTGATTTCCCAGGCCTCAAGAAAATGAAATAGAACCAAACAAAAGATACTAAAACAGAGAACGGTCAAAGAGGAGAATCCTCAGAGTTTTATAATAGAATTATATTAAAGACTTTCAAAGACTCACATTGGGATAGCTACCACTTGTATATTACTCTTCCCATAGCGATGTGAGATGTGGCCAAGTGATTTGCTTTGCAATTTTATTTTCTTCACATAGGCAATGGTAACAAAAGCAAATAATTTATAAGGGATTATATACAGGTGTTTTTTTATTCTATTGTTAGGTCCAAAAGATCTGGCTTGCCTATTGGAGGAGGCACATTCAACAATGAAAATCAGTTGGCTGATATTTGAGTAAAACCCCACTGAGTGTTAGACCTGCAGTTGAGACTAACAATGGATAACCAGAAGCCAAGTAAAGCAGAGGATTCAAGAGGAATAGCTCAACTGTGTCTTGTTCTCTATCAACCACTATACTAACTGTTCTATACTCAGTTCAGGTTTTTAAACTTCTACCCAAGAGGGTGAACATGTGACACTTGTCTTTCAGTGTCATGGTGACTGTAAGTACCCTTCTGAGAGTACCATATAGACTGTAGAAGCTAAACCCAGTAGATACTGTTATTGGAAGAAAATGCTGGATCCTGAGGTAGGTTGACTCTCAATTTTCTGAGAAACTGCCACACTGATTTCCAAAGTGGTTGCACAAGTTTGCATTCCCACCAGCAATGAATGAGTGTTCCCTTTACTCCACATCCTCTCCAGGAAAGGTAATCATTGGTATTTTTTATTTTAGCCATTCTGACAGGTGTAAGATGGTATCTCAAAGTTGTTTTGATTTGCATTTCCTTAATATCTAAGGAAGTTGAACATGTCCTTAAGTATCTTTTGGCCATCTGAAATTTTTTTGTTGAGAATTCTCTGTTCAGTTCAGTACCCCATTTTTTAATTTGGGTTATTTAGAATTTTAATGTCTAGTTTCTTGAGTTCTTTATATATTTTGGAGATCAAACCTTTGTCTGATGTGGGGTTGGTTAAGATTTTTTCCCATTCAGTAGGTTGCCCTTTTGTCTTAATGACTGTGTCCTTTGCTTTACAGAAGCTTCTCAGTTTCAGGAGGTCCCATTTATTCATGGTTGCTCTTACTGTCTGTGCTACTGGGGTTATGTGTAAGAAGTGGTCTGCTGTGCCCATGTGTTGCAGTCTACTTCCCACTTTCTCTTCTATCAGGTTCAGTGTGGTTAGATTTATATTGAGGTCTTTAATCAATCTGGACTTGAGTTTTGTGTATGGTGACAGATATGGATCTATTTTCATTCATCTACAGGTTGACATCCAGTTATGCCAGCACCATTTGTTAAAGATGCTTTCTTTCTTTCATTGTATAATTTTAGTTCCTTTGTCGAAAAGATACAATAACTCAGAATAAAAACATCAACAAATTTAATTAACAAGCACAGATGCAAAAATCTTAAGAAAAGAACTTATAAACCAAGTTTATTAACACATTAAAAATCATAGATCATGATCAATGTTGACTGAGTTTTCTGTCCTGCCCAGTTCCCATCGTCATTAAGTCTCAAAGAAATCACACAGAGTTTTACATTAACTATAAACTGATTGGCCCATTAGCTCAGGATTCTTTTAATTCTTATAACTTATATTAGCCCATTATTCTTGTCCATGTTAGCCACGTGGTTTGGTACCTTTTTTGGTGAGGCAGTTACATCTTGCTTGCTCTGTAGCTGGGTCAAGAGTGCAGACAAAGCTTTTCTCTTTCCAGAATTCTCCTGTTCTCATTGACCCACCTCTACTTCCTGGCTGGTTGTACTGCCTATACTTCCTGCCTGGCTACTGATCAATCAGCATTTATTTAAAATATAATTGACAGAATACAGACCATTGTCCCATACCAGATCAACTTGAATTCCTTATAGTAATTTAAGGATGGTTCAACATATGTTGCATGATAAACATAATATAATATATAAACATAATAATGGACAAAAATCAGTTATCATGTTAAAAGATGGAGAAAAAGCTTTTGACAAAATCCAACTTTCTGTCTTGATAAAGGTCCTTAAGAAACAAGGAGTAGGATAATACCTCAATACATTAAAGGTTCTGTGTGGCAGACCTGTAGCTGAAGTTGTACTCATGATTAAAAAACATTTTCTCTTAAGTCAACAGCCACTATCACTTATCTTTCTGAAGACGTAGGGGGCAGGAGGAGGAGATCAGGAGGAATTCTTAGCCATTAAAAAAAAGGTACGAGGACAACCTTTCAGACTAGTGAGTGGGTGCTTTCACGATAGCCACAAATAGCATAAAGTATCTTGGGGTAACTCTAACCAAGGAAGTGAAACATCTATTTGACAAGAACTTTAAGGTTTTGAAGAAAGAAATTGAAGAGGATACCAGAAAATGGAAGAATCTCCCATGCTCTTGGATTGGGAGGATCAACATAGTAAAATGGCAATTCTACCAAAAGCAATCTATAGATTCAATGCAATCTCCATCAAAATTCCAACAAAACTCTTCACAGACCTTGAGAGAACAATAATCAAGTTTATATGGCAAAACAAAAAACCCAGGATAGCCAAAACAATCGTATACAAGAAAAGTATTTCCGGAGGCATTACCATCCCTGACTTCAAACTCTATTATAGAGCTACATTAATGAAAACTGCTTGGCATTGGCACAAAAAACAGAGATGTTGACCAATGGAATCAAATTGAAGACCCAGATATTAATCCACAAACCTATGAACACCTGATTTTCCCCGACATTCATCTAGTGGTATTAGTTCCCTTCTAGCCTTTTTCACTGCACCCCACAGATTCAGATTGCACTATTTAAGTTTTCATTTATTTCAAAAGAATTAAAATTTTCTTCTTAAATATCACAGCTGAGCCATGTGTTATTTAATCTCCTTATTTTATTTGCAAGCATTGGTGAATTTTTCAATTACCTTTAGGATGCCTTTTTGGATTACTTTCATTATATTGGGATCAGACACTGCATCATTTCTGCTCTTTCTAACTTGTGTTTTTATCCCACATTCTAATAAAATCCTTTTCAAGAATCTGTTTGAAGCCATTCATAAATTTGTTTTATTAACAAGACTAAGAACCCTAAAGGGAATCCAAATTTCCTTAGAAACAGTATGATTGTTCAGACACAATTCTTTTAAAGGCAGAAATCAAGGAGAAACTTAAATAAAATATGGGTTAAAATACTTACTTTGCTTTATAAGGTGAATCGGAGCCAGAAATTTTGGTTTCCACTAAACTCTCATATTCTTTAGCCCTAAAGAGAAAAGGTAATTTATCATTATTAGTTATTTCATAGCCAATTATATAATTATATAATGATCCTTTTGTTCCTTTCCCAGAGAAGTATCATGCTGTTAATGTGACAAATTGGTTCATTTTAAAAATCCCTTCCTCAAATGAAATCCTGAAATGCTATCCTGAAAGAATGAAAACACACATTCCCCAGAAGATACAGATGTGATTCAATAAGAACACTTCTGAGTAAAGAATCATGGTGATTAAATATACTCCATGATTACAACAGAAGAGTTGAGGTGGCTAACTTTCTATGTATTGTAAGAAATACAAAGTCTATTGTGAAGGGTGATGCTTCTCTGCTTTCTTTCTTAGCCCATTTATCATATGTATAAAGGAGAGCTACTGAATTTTTGTTAGTTAGTCTTATATCCTATCACATTACTAAAGGTGTTTATGAGTTGTAGAAGTTCCCTGGTAGAATAATTGGGGTCACTAACGTATACTATTATATCATCAACAAATAGTGAGAGTTTGACTTCTTCTTTTCCAAGTTGTATCCCCTTGATCTCCTTTTGTTTTCTTATTGCTCTAGCTAGAACTTCAAGTACTATATTGAATAGATATGGAAAGAGTGAACAGCCTTGTCTTGTTCCTGATTTCAGTGGGATCACTTGGAGTTTCTCTCCATTTAGTTTGATATTGGCTGTATATATCTCAGGTAACTCTAATAAATCAAGTGAAAGACCTGTATGAAAAGAATGTTAAATCTTTGAAGAAAGAAATTAAAGAAGACACCAGAAAATGGAAAGATTTCCCATGCTCTTAGGTAGGTAGAATTAACAAAGTAAAAATGGAAATCTTACTGAAAGCAATCTACAGATTGAATGCAATGCCCATCAAAATCACAGCAAAATTTTTCACAGACCTCGAAAGAACAGTACTCAACTTCATATGGAAAAGCAAAAAAACCTAGGATAGCCAAAACAATCCTGTACAATAAAGAAATTTCCAGAGGCATCATCATCCCTGACTTCAAACTCTATTATAGAGCTACAGCAATGAAAAACAGCCTGGTATTGCCATAAAAACAGACAGGAGGACCAATGGAACCAAATCAAAGACCCAGATATCAATCCACATACCTACGAACACCTGACTTTTGACAAAGAAACCAAAAATATAAAATGAAAAAAAAAAGCATGTTCAAAAACTGGTGCTGGCATAACTGGGTATCAACATGTAGAAGTGTTGTAGGGAGGCTGCTTGTTTATTTCCCAGTTGCCCAGACTCCCAAAATAACCACAGAGAAACTATTAATTAAATCACTGCTTGGCCCATTAGCTCTAGCTTCTTATTGGCTAACTCTTACATCCTAATTTAACCCATTTCTAGTGTGGGACAATTCTGTATTCTGTCAATTATGTTTTAAATAAAAATGCTGATTGGCCAGTAGCCAGGGAGGAAGTATAGGAAGGACAACCAGAAAGGAAGTAGAGGCAAAGCAATGAAAACAGGAGAATTCTGGGAAGGAGGAAGCTCTCTCTGGAGTTGTGAGCCCACCACAGAAGAAGCAAGATGTGAATGCCTCACTGAAAAAAAAGTACCAAGCCATGTGGCTAACAGATATAAATTATAAGAGTTAATAAGAAGCTTGAGCTAATGGGTCAATCAGTTTATAGTTAATATAGACCTCTGTGTGATTTCTTTGGGACTTAATGATTGCGGGATCCAGGCAGGACAGAAAACCTGACAACAAAGCAGGCCTTCATGTTACAAAGTGGTGTGGGTGACTGGACTGTATTTTGTCAATTATATTTTAAATAAACACTGATTGGTGAGTAGCCTGACAGGAAGTATAGGCAGAACAATTTGCTTTTTTTTTCCACAGGAAATGAGAGGCTGTGGATTCATTCTGAATTAAGAAAAATCAATTTTGATCAAGGAAGACCACCTGAGAAATCTCCGGTAGGAACAGATGACCCAGGCAGATTCAAGATGCTGCCTGAGATAATCAAGCCTCACATGATACTTCAATCAGGACTTGATCATAATTCTAAATTTTCTTTAGGTCCCTATAAGATTATCAGCCCCAACCAGCAGGAAGTAGCCTGGAAAACTACACCCACATTCCCAAAAAATGGACTATGGATTTTTTTCCTTTGCTTAAAAAGGGGGGGGGGAGTGGTGTGGGACAATTCTGTATTCTGTCAATTATGTTTTAAATAGACGATGATTGGCCAGTAGCCAAGCAGAAAGTATAGATGGGACAACCAGATAGGATGTAGAGGCAAGCAATGAGAACAGGAGAATTCTGGGAAGGAGGAAGCACTCTCTGGAGTCGTGAGCCCGCCACAGTAGAAGCAAGATGTGACTGCCTCACTGAAAACAGGTACTGAGCCATGTGGCTAACATATACTAGAATAATTGGCTAATATCAGTTATAAGAGTTAATAAGAAGCCTGAGCTAATGGACCAATCAGTTTATAATTAATGTAGACCTCTGTGTGATTTCTTTGAGACTTAATAACTGTGGAAACCAGGCAGGACAGAAACCTCAGACAACACATTTCAATTAATCTGTGTATTGTCACGAGGTTGTGGCTTACTGGGTTAAGTTCCAGCATCTTTCTCTAGCAGGGCTACATGGCTTCTCCTGACTCTGCCCTTCTTTGTCCCAGCATTCAATTTAGTTTTCCCTGCCCAGCTCTGTTCTACCCTATCAGGTCAAGCAGTTTCTTTATTAACCAATGGTATTCACAGCATACAGAGGGGAATCCCATACCATAGAAGAATGTAAATAGATTCATAAGTGTTGCCAAGCACAAAACTCAAGTCTAAATGGATCAAAGAACTCAACATAAAACCAGCCACACTGAACTTCATAGAAGAGAAAGTGGGAAGTTCACTTGAAATCATTGACACAGGAGACCACTTCCTAAATATAACCCCAGTAGAACAGACACTGAAACAATTAATAAATGGGACCTCCTGAAACTGAGAAGCTTCTGTAAAGCAAAGGACACGGTCAATAAGACAAAAAGGCAACCTAAAGAATGGGAAACAATCTTCATAAACCCCACATTGGACAGAAGACTGATCTTCAAAATACACAAAGAACTCAAGAAACTTGAGTTCAAAAGAACAAATAATCCAATAAAAAAAATGGGGTGTAGACCTAAACAGAGAACTCTCAACAGACAAATCTCAAATGGCTGAAAGACAATTAAGGAAATGTTTAACATCTTAATCACCAGAGAAATGCAAATCAAAACAACTCTCAGATTCCATCTTACAACTGTCAGAATGGCCAAGATCAGAAACATTGATGACAGCTTATGCTGGAGAGGATGTGGGGTAAAGGGAACACTCCTGCATTGCTGGTGGGAGTGCAAACTTGTACAGTCATTTTGGAAATCAGTATGGCGACGTCTCAGAAACTTAGGAGACAACCTATCTCAGGACACAGCAATACCACTTTTGGGTATATACTCAAAGGATGATCAATCATACCACAAGGACATGTGCTCAACTATGTTCATAACAGCATTATTTGTAATAGCCAGAACGTAGAAACAACCTAGAGGCCCCTCAACCAAAGAATGGATAAAGAAAACGTGGTGCATTTACACAATGGAATACTACACAGTGGTAAAAAAAATGAAATCTTGAAATTTGCAGGTAAATGAATAGATCTAGAAAAAAAACATATTGAGTGAGGTAACACAGACACAGAAAGACAAATATCATATATTCTCACTCATAAATGGCTTTTAGACATAAAGCAAAGAAAAACCAGCCTACAGTCCATAACCTCAGTGTACCTTGACAACAAAGAGGATCCTAAGAGAGACATAGATGGATCTACATAGGAAGGAAAAGAAGACAAGATCTCCTGAGTAAATTGGGAGCATGGTGGTTACAGGAGAGAGTTGAAGGGGAGAAGGGAGGAAGGGAGAGGAGTAGAAGAAATGTATAGCTCAATAAGAACAAAAAAAAGAAGATAGTTTGAGAAAAAGGCATAGTGTTACAAAAAAAAAGTGATTCATAGTCTAAGTTAAATACAGGTAAATAATTTTCATTTAACTTCAGAGACAGACTGGAAATAAGCGGATCCAAACCTCAAAGACATGTTCTATTGTTTATACTGACTACACTCTAAAGGTCCTTATAAATTCATGCTTCCCTTTCTTTGCTCCTATCAGTGTTTAAGCTAGTCCAGAGCAGAAGGGATAGCCATCATGAAGAAAGGGCTCACTAAAGCAATGGAGTAATATTGAGTTAATATACCCATTTCTCCCCATTATTTTTTTGAAAATAAAAGAAGAGCCTATTAACTTAAATGTTACGTGTGAGTGAGAGCAATGACTTATTAGTAAAGTGTTAGCCAAAAAAAAAGGTTAAGGACCCAAGTTTCAAACTTTACACCCCATGAAGAGCCAGGCATGATAGCACAAATCTATAAACTCAGTGTTCCTTCAGCAACATGGAAGGTTCAGACAGAAGTCTAAGACACTAGTGGACCAGCTAGCTAGATACACAGAGCGGTGAACAAGAGATCCTGCATACAAGTGCTGGAATCTAACAACCCACATATGAGACTGCTCTCTGAGCTCCAAAGATCCACTCACAAATACAAACTCTTCCTCCCTTAAGAGTAAAAGAATGGTGTTCTTAATCTGTTGCAACATTTTCCATGAAGTCTCTTACTTTACCAGTATACATTTTTTGTGGTACAGTTTATATGAAATATATTTATGTCCTTTTACATTAATATATTTACATGTTTATATCTGAAGTGATTCTCTGGAAGATACAATGTGGTTTTAAAAATTGTTTCTGAAAACATGTACCTTTCACTGAAAAATCTAATGTTCGTAAACTTCATGTAATTCCAGTATAGAAAAGTTTCCTTCTGCTGTTTGCCATTGTTTTCTACATATTTTATTACCTTTGCCTCTTAATAACTCCATTACTCCTTTTTAGAATGTTAAATCAATATTTTCTGTCCCCTAACTC